CCTTAAACTCGGCCACTGATGAACTTAGCTGTTTAAGCTGGCAGAACTGATCTCCCAACTTCTCTCTGACAGCGGGAGACAAAAACTTCTCCTGGAAAGCATCTACAAAGGCCTCCCATGTGCCACCAACACGACCCCTCATGAACTTCCACCACCTCATTCTTATGGTCTTTGACATAGATTTTTGGTTGTTTTGATAAAGTGTTGAATTTGGGAAATTTTGGGACTTAGGGTTTCAAGATGGGTTAAAGAGGGTTTTGTGATTTTGGGCTCATAATATGTATTTTGGGTTTCAAAATAATGATGTTGTTGTTGGTTGTTGATATATAGGCCATTGGGTCAATATTGAGAAATGGGGTAGAAAACCCTAATTTAGTTGAATAAATTAATTGGTATAATTAATTTGGGAAAATTTGTGGACTTATGGAATTGAGTTGGAAATAATGAAATTGGCTCATTATGTTGTGAAATGATGGAGTTGGATTTGTAAATCGCTCGTTTTTGAAAACATTGATATTTTATTTGTTGGAGCTTTTATTATCTGTTTAGAAATAATTGTTTGGGCTACCGGTGGAGGGTAGTTTTGATTGTTGTAGACAATGCATGATGATTAGGCAAATTAAAACTAATCAATTGGATATGTCATAGAGTATGACGGTTGATAGAATACATTAACGTTATGTATTGATTGATTGTGTATATGACCTATGCGTATATACATTGTGTATGTGGGAGGAGATAGAGGATGTACTCCACGGTTTAGGGGAAGATAGGGGATGGGCCTCTAAACCGGATGTTGTTTGGGAGGAGATAGGGGATGAACTCCACTGATACAGCTCATATGCTTGTCAGATAATGTGTTGATACAACTCATATGCTTGTCATTGGAAGTGTTGATATAGCTAATATGTATATCTGTTGAAATGTGGATATAGCTTGTATGCTTATCTGTTGAGATGTTGATACAATTAGTTTGTTTATCTGTTGTATAAATGGGAGATGTTTAATATGAGTCATTGCCTCATATAAGTGGTTGGCCAGGTTTTGAACCGTTGATGAAAAATGTGAAATTGATAAGAAATGGAAACTGAAATGAAACATGAATATATGGTCATGAAATGGAAATGGATTATGAATTGGTTTATGGAAATTAAACATTTATCAATTGCTAATGTCTTAGTTATTGCTCATACTGTGTTTAGCATATCTCTACTGGGCGTTGGCTCACCCTTTATGGGACATTATTTTTAGGTACAGGTAGTATGCCACCTCCAAGGACATAGCTTGGATGATGATGAGAGTTGAAGACTTTTTTTTTTGTTTATTTTGATGTATTACATGTAAATTCAAGCCAAGGGCTTAATATGTATTGAGTTAGTACTCTTTTTTTTTGTAATCAAGTGTTAACTTGGAAAGCTGTAGCCCATAGGGCATTTGCTTTTGTTGTTAACATGTAATACAGTTGTAATAATTACTCTGATGAATAGAAATGGCTGATTTCTTTTGTATCAATGTATGTCTAAAATGTTGGGTATTTTGTATTATTCTGAGGGTGTTACAAGTGAGGTGTAGGAGACGAGTGTGAAAGCTGTGTGTTTGCGAAGCAGATAGATAAAAGATTCACGTCGATCGGTTGGGTTGGGTTTCACGAGTGGGTCGCCGGCGTCGGGAGTGGGTCGCCGTCAAGCTTGGGTTGCCGTCGGGAGTAGGTCGCTGGTGAAGGTGGGTTCTGTGGAGGAGAAGAAGTGCGTGTATAACCTACACAGCTTTGGGTTTGGTAGGGAAAATTTCAGTTTAGTTTAAAATTATTATTATTATTTTTAATAGCCGTTAGATCTGCAACGGCTGATCTCAGCCGTTGCCAGTAGAGAATGAAGGAGAGGGCCTCAAGGAGAGGATCCGTACTCTTGTTATCCACGTCATTGCCAGCTTGGGCCTCCACGTCATCAGCACCATCTTCCTGCTTGCTCTCTACTTCGGCCGCCTAGGTATCTATATCCCTATACGAGCTCTGTTTGGCACTATTACCACGTTGATGATGGCAAATACATTACTTCTTTACCTCCTTCGCAGTAACGACCTGATCTTCATAAACTTTTACCGGATAAAGTACCTCTTGGCAGTCCAAATTGATTATTTTGTTGATGGATTCCATGCACTGTGTGACTATTCTTACCTTGCCACAAATCAAGTTATCCATATTGGATGTATCCTCATCTAGCCCAATCACTTCCCCCCATAATCTGTCTATTGTAAAAAAGGTGTTGTTGTTCCATAAGTTTAAGGGAACCCCATAACAGCTCAACTAGACAGCTCTCTCTTGTTCAATGGCCATCCCTTGTTTCCATTCTGTAACCGATACAGACCATTCCTCTACCCAAACCTTCATTTGCTTGAGTTATGCTCACATGCTTTCCACCAATTGAAATGATAGAACTATGTCTCTACCTCCTCTATCTCGAACCTCAATATCCTCCATGCATTTATACTTCAATTCTTGTTTGAAATCTGCCTCACCACACAGCGGCTTTAATCGCACGATTGCACTATTGTACAACCATCCATTCCCTACTTTATATACTTTTACAGTTAAGGTTGCATCAGCGATAGACCTTTTCCACTTATAACCTGGGCATAAGAGTCATTTTCTTTTATCTTCCAAGAAACCAGTCCAGCACCTCTTATTTCCTTTCTATGAGTTGGTATCTGTAAATGCCTTTTCTGTGCCTCTGCACTTCGAGCAAACTCTGTAACTTTCACTTTCAAAGCTCTGTTATCACACCACACTCCATTTGCTTTTCTAGACTGCCATGCTTGCTGCAATTGAGCAATTATATCTCACGAATCCAAACTTGGATCACGTCATCTTCCTTCTTTTGTGTGGTATGAATATATCTTGCACCACTTCGAAGTTGGTGAACAAAGTATACAGCTCTTTTGGTTCCATTGACTCTGGTAGATTATCAACAAAAGCAGTGTGGATACATGTTCCCGTCCTAATATATAACTCCATCTTGTGCTATGCTTGCGTATCACTACTTCCAACGTTCTCCCTCCATGGTTCTTGAACAGCGTTGTACTTATTTCATTTTTATATTGTAATTTTCTCACTTGAGAGAATACAAAACCAATCAGATCTACGTCAACCGGTAGTTGGGTCTCTATTTAATTTCGAAATAAAATTGCCAAAAATCATTATTTTTCAACAGATCATTTGTAAAAAAAGCAAGTTAATTAGACATCTATAACTCATAACAAGATTAAAAAAAATAAATGGTAAACATAATTTTAATATATATTTTTTTAAAAACAATTATGGTCCGATTATGAGACTACATGTATGTCCGACTAATCTCATTTTTTATACGAATAATATACTCGATAAATTTTATAATATAAATGGTTCGAATGATTAAAATAAAATTAAATCGAATCTCAATTAGGATGTTATAGTCATGCTGTGACAGCTCCTTCCCTTCGGGCTAACTGCATCTATCTGATGTACTAGTACGAATGAAGACCCAATTCTCCTTTGATAAAAACACACACAAATCACATGACAGGATTTATCCTAAAAAAATATAGGGTATGTTTGGTTTGTGTTTGAGAGATGTGTTTTAGAGATAAAAAGTACGAAAAGTTGTTTGGTTTGGTTTTTTTCAAAAGATGTTTTGAAAAATTATTTTGAGAGAGAGTTTTGGAAAAAGTGATTGATTTGATGTGTGTGAGAGAGAGATTTGTTTGGAAAACTTGTTTGGTTTACAAGTTTTGAGAAATTTTTTTGGAAAAATTTGTTTGGTTTGATTACTTTTAAAAACTTATTTGTAGAGAAAATTTCCCAAAAATTTTTCACAAACACAAACCAAACGAACCCATAATTTCATTCAGATTAATTCATTTATATTTTATGTGGTTAACTTGAGCATCACCAAGGGGATAGTTAAACAAGACTTGTTAGGTATTTTAACCAATGTAAGTCTAATTTTGAGCTCCAATGGACTAGCTATTGGGCTAACTACTTTTTTTTTTTTTTTTAAAACAACCAAAAGGAATTTTATTGATAATGATTAAGCATTATTACATTGACAATCATCAATAAAAAGAAAGGAGCAAAGAGCACAAAAAAAACCAAACAGCAGAAGTTGGTAAGATACCAACCAAACAGCACAAAGACGAGCTCCAACAGATGAACTCCAACCTAACCAACAGATGAACTCCACCAGCACAAAGACACCAACAGAAGAACTCCAAGAAAAACTAGAAGCACACATAGATCTAAATTAGCCACACAGGATAGACTTACTCCCCAAATAGTACCTGATTTGCCTTAAATTGGTCAGGAAGTCCTGGACAGTGAAGTGAAAGCCCTTGAATCTCTGGTTCAACCACAATGCAACTCTGATTTACCATCCTAATTTTTTGATGGCTACAATTGAAGAGCCCTAGAGGCTTTCCAAACAATTATGTATGTATATATTTTAGATTTTGATATATTTATGTCTTAGATTTGGGATTTTATATATATTATATATATATATATATATATATGTGTGTGTGTGTGTGTGTGTGTGTGTGTTTGTTTGTGTATGTAGCAATTTTATATATTCTTTCAATTCTTTTTGATGAATTACGGAATAACTTATTTTATATTTTGTATTTTGTATTTTTTTTCTCCTCATTCCACAAGTTTTGTATGTTTGTATGGGTAAATTTATTATTATTGCAAATTTATATTAGTAAAATATCAACAATTAGTATTTTTTATTTTAAAAATTAATTGAGTTTGTTTAAATGATTAGCTAAAATAAAGAGCGTGGTTGGAGAACACAATAGCTAAAGTAATTAGGTAAAATAAAGAGTGTATTTTTTTTGTACTTTAGCTAGTAAAAAGTAGAAAGTGTGGTTGGAGTTGCTAACCCTGATTTGACTATCATTTTGAGATTAAAAATACACAAAATGAAAAAATAGACTAAATAAGTTAATAAGACAAAATATCATATTCAATCTATAATTATTATACTTTTTCTTTCATAAAAGTTAAAAAAGTAAAAAAATCCAAACCAAACGAGATTGAAAAACTTAATTTAAAAAAGTTTAAATACAAAAAAAATTGACTTTATAAATCAATACCAAACGAAGTTGTTAAAGTCGTATATGTGTCTCTAGATTTATTATTGATTTAAAGAACAAGGCAAATGAATAAGGTCTTCTTCTAGAATAGAGGATAGAAACCCGGGTTATCACAAGCTTTCATTTTCCACTTCTCTCGCGAACAACCCCAACTCCTCTCTCCTCCTCAAAAAAAAAAAAAAAAAAAAAAAAAAAAAAAAAAAACCTCTCTCTCTCTCTCTCACTCGATACTATCAATTACCATTCCACATTTTTACATTACAACTTCTGAGAAAAATAAGCAAAATTGATAATTTTTCAATACAAAGCTATGCAAGTCACCAAACAAGGCCATGTTGTAGTCCTGGCATTCCCATTCGGCACCCACGCCGCTCCCCTCCTCACCCTCGTGGGCCGCTTATCCGCCGCTGCACCCAACCTCAAGTTCTCCTTCCTCAACACTGCAAAATCCAATGAGAAAGTGTTTTCAAAAATCAAAATTGCAGAGAATGGAAACATCAAAGCACACAACGTGTACGATGGAGTGCCGGAGGGGCACGTATTTTCGGGACACCCTTTGGAGTCTGTGGAGCTTTTCTTGAAAGCTATGCCTGAGACTTTTAAAAATGGGGTGAAAGAGGCTGTGAAAGAAAGTGGGCTGAAGGTGACTTGCTTGTTGAGTGATGCTTTCTTTTGGTTTTCAGGCGATATGGCTGCGGAGATGGGTGTTCCTTGGGTGGCGCTTTGGACTGCTGCACCGTGCTCTATCTCTGTTCATCTGTATACTGACCTTATTCGGAGCACTCTCAAAGGTATGGATCATGGTTTTATGGATATATGTATCGGTAATAATGATACAACCTTAATATCATACAATATCAACTAATATATCGATCAATAATATTGTTAGAAGTCTAAAATATCGATACTTATAATGGGTGATGCATAATGACGGATATTTAAAACGCTGATAAGAATTGCTAATAAAAATAAATTAAAAATACATTGAACAGAAGAGACACTATGATCATATGCTTTACATGTTCTACTCTTTGATCAACACATTCCATGTTTATTTATTACATGTGACATATATTCAATATATTTAAAGTCGGTGCATGGTGGTAATTAAAATTTGGCAATTTACATTGGTAATAGCTGCATTTGTTTTTTTGTTTTTTTTTCGTCATTTTAGTTACTATTATTTTAGATTTTGTATTAATTTGATTTAATTGGTAAAGCCCATTAAGATTTTTGAAACAAACTGATCATTGAATTGATTAAGATTAACTTAGTATAAATTAAATAAGTTTACAATTTTGTAATAAAAGTATGATACATATTACTTATTTGCACATTTTCAATTGGGCCAAATTAGAGGTTATTTGGGATGTCCTAAATAAGTGTACTTTTTTGTCTTTTGGACTAAAAAGTTGAGAAAAAAATATAGATGTTTGGGTTAACTTTTTGACTTTTTATGAAAAAATGTGCATTAAAAAATTATATAAAGAAGTGTGTAGGAGAATATTAGAGATGTGTGTTGTACAGCCGTACATTATGCACAGCCGAATTGATGGTAAGAAATTATTGCTTACTTTTCGGGCATTGCACTGGACGGTTTTGTTCGGCACGTGGAGGCTATCACGGGTCCCATTTTAATAATCTGAATCGTTCATGTGTAGAACTCGTCGAGTACTATATGCTTATAAAAAACACGTTGATCGGATATCGATAGTTATCTGATCAGATTTGTTTTTTTTTAATCGTTAATTATAACACCATCATTTTTTTTATACAAAACTGATTTGATCATGTAGTTATCAATATCTGATTAATGTGATTTTTTACAGACATATAGTACTCGACGAGTTCTACACATTCAACGGTTCACATTATCAAAATGGAACCCGTGATGGGCCCCTACGGGTCGAACAACAGTGTGTGAAAATTGCACCAAAACTGTGCAATTTTTCTTCACAAACACTGCATAGCGCTGAACATACATGATTGCTGAGTTGTATTGATGTGTGAAAAATTAATTTTTTAATATTTTTGTTGGTGAATAGTGATAACTTTTTAACTTTTTGACTTTTTGTCTTTTTTGGAAGATGCCAAACTTGACGTAAGGTAAAATTATAAATTTAGAATAAAAATCAAGTGGATTGAACTTATAAAGATCAAAATGACAAAAAAAAAAAAAATCAAAATATAACGGTTACCAATGTAATTTGTCCTTTAAAATTAGTGCGAGAAGGGCAATATTCACAATGAATGTGATCATTTGATTCTGGATAGTTTTCTTTTGGATAAATTGCACTGACCACCCCTTAGGTATAAAAAATATACAATAAATCCCACAGTATGTTATAATTGTACCAACTCCGTTTTAGTAAGGTTAATGTGTGATCAAAACTACTACAAATGGTATATAGATACCAAAGTAAATAAGGTAAAATTTACTTTTCAATGTAAAAGAGATGGACATATAGAGTCTGTTTAATAATCTAATTCAGCACTTAAAACTGAATGTATTAAGTGATAATCAATTAAGCTCGTTTGATAACTCGTTTGATAACCACAACTGATATCACTTAAAAATTTAAACGCCTCTTAAAATGTAACCTAAAATTACAAAAAAAAAAAAAAAAATTCATATGAAACTTACTTAATTCTAATTGAATTTATAAATACTAAATATAAATATCAATATATACTTTTATAAACTCACTATTATCACTACTACCACCGCTATAATTACCACTATATGCCAATGCCACCGCCACCGCCATCATTACTGCTACCATTGTTATCGTTACCATCACCACCATCACTACCACTACCAACACAATCACCACCACCACTGCAACCACCACCATCATGCCATCGCCACTACTACCACTACCACTACCACTACCACTACCACTACCACCACTACCATTACCGCCGCCGCCGCCACCACCATCACTATTGCTATTGCTACCACCATCATCATGCCACCACCACCACTATCTTCATCACCATTGTCATTATTGCCATAAGTATCACCATCATTTTGCTAACATGATCATCGTAATTGCAATCACCACCACCACCACTACTATTACTATCACCATCACCATCATAATATAAAATTGAAATATACTATTTAAAAATAATAAATTTAAAATTTGATCTTATAAATATCAAACAACTTATTTTTAGTTCAGCACTTGAATTTTTATCAAATAGTTTTTTAACCTAAAAATTGAGCATTTAGTTTTCAATACTTAATTTTTAGTCTTTAGTTTTTAGTTTTCAGCTTTATCAAACACCATCATAATTATTCTATCTATATGAGTAATGAATTACAATTAAAAATTGGATTAAGTGTTATGTAAATTAAAACTTTAAAAGTGTCAAATTTAATTTTTCCAAATTTATGGGATTTAATATATTTTTTTCCAAACCTTAAGAAAAATTAGTATAATTTATCTTCTTCTTTTTTTCTTATTGCTAAAGATTAGAAATCATGAAATTTCAAAGTTTCTACAAAGAAACTATAAAATTTGACATTTGTGTACCAAAATTGAAAATTTATGTAATAGAGAAAGGAAAATTTACTTATAAATCGTATCTTGAGTAATGGTGATTCATTTAGTTCCAAAGATTATTATATAAACCAATTAGTCTCATTGATTTTGAAAAGTTAGATTTAATATATTATTTGAAAATTGGGTTTGCGGTTATATCCTTATTTCTATTATGTTTCCTTCTCATTTTTTTATTTTTTTATTTTTTTTTGTGTGTTAGAAAAATAAGACAAACAACCTATGATAATCAAATTTGGGATGAATTTTTAAATGAGAGTCTTTTTTATTTGGAATGATTTGAAATGTGAAATTCTTCACATATTTCAAAAGAGGAGTGATGGAGACCCCCTCCAATCACCACCCCCACTACCTCCACACACATGTGGCAAGTGGTGATTGGAGGACAAGGGAAACAAAAAAAAAAAAAGAAAAAGAAAATCCAACCAATGAGAAAGAGAGGGGATCAAAGGGGATTGGGAAAAAAGGGGGTCTTAGACATTTTTGATTTCAAAAGGAGTATAAAAATGACTTGAAATATGAGATTCTTCAAACATTCCAAAATGATGTGAGACTGTTCAAATATTTCAAAAAGAGTATAAAAACTCTATAGTAAACTTTGGGCAAATGTACAATGTCAAACTATAACACTCCAATGAAACACTCAAATGTAACATTCCAAAAAAACTCGTAGTGTATTTTTTTTTCCAAATGTAACACTTCAATAAAACATTCTAAAAAAATTCTTTAGTGTAACACTCTAATGTAACACACGCACACACACAAAAATCGTAGTGTACTTTTTCCAAATGTATCATTCCAATGTAACACTTCAAAAAAAGGATATGAGATTCTTCAAACCATTTCAAAAGGATATAAGATTATTGAAACCATTTCAAAACGAGTACAAAAATTCCTTAGTTAACTTTAGGCAAATGTATAATTTTATATTGTGAGTGTTACGTTTGGGAAAAGTACATTGAGCAATTTTTTAGTATTTTTGTGTGTTACTGATGAGATTACTAAGTCATCATCAGTTTCATATGATCAAGTGGCATAGCAGAGCTTATAAGGATGAGTCACAACATACCAAAGCCTCTGCTAGTTAATATAACTGTATTTGTTATATAAGTTGAACTTGTTACAGTATATTAGATATAGAATAGATATAATTGGTTAGTGAGTTCTGCTGATGTATAAAACCAGATGTGGTGTAATTGATTCGCTCATTGAATAATAATCTAGATATTCATATCTTCTTCACGGTATTAGAGCTTGTGCTCTAACGAGCTTCGGTTTTGGAAGCATCTTCAATGGTGTTCATGGAGGAGTCTGGAACTACTCTTCCTCATAATCTCACACTTTTGATTTCTAATCTGAACTCGTTTGTTACTGTCAAATTGGATTCTTCTAATTACATCATTTGGAAAAATCAATTCCAAAACATATTCCAAGCCACAAATCTACTGAGCATTGTTGATGGTTCTGGTGATTGTCCCTCTGAATTTGTGCTTGATTCGAATGGTAACAATGTGATCAACTCAGAATTTGTAAAGTGGAAGCAGATTGATTCGCATATACTTAATTGCATCATAGTAACTCTCACATCTTCTGTGTTTACCTCTGTCTTTGAGTGTACAAATTATAGAGAAGTTTGGTCACTTCTTGCTAAGAGATTAACTTCTCTCTCTCATTCACATATTCTTCAACTCAAAAATCAATTGAATAACATCTCAAAAAAAATCCTCTTCAATGGAAGCATATCTTAGTCAACTCAAGACCATTTCAGATCAGTTGGCCCATGCTTCTTTACCTACCAAATGAAGATCTAGTTCTCATTGCTCTCAATGGATTTCTTGCTGAGTACAATGCTTTGAAAACTACCATTTGTGCTCGAGTTGAACCTATCTCCATGGAGGATCTTTCTTCTTTATTATGTTCTGAGGCTTTACATGTGGAAGTTGAGTCTCCAACGTCTTCTTTCTTAGATCTTATAGTAGCATATGCAGCCATGAAAGATCATAATTCATTCAAATCTCATTCCTCTGGTTTTCGAGAAAATAGAGCCTCTTATTCAAGAGGAGGCGGTTGATTTTTTCGTGGTTCTTCTAATAGAAGAGGTGGTAGTGTTAGACAACAATTTTCTTAGGCTTCATACCATTCAGCTTTATCTTTAATTTGTCAAATTTGTGGAAAGCCTAATCATACTGCTCTCAACTGTTGGCATAGATTGGACACTTCGTTTC